AGCCAAGCCCGGGGGAGGCTACAAGGGGAACCCGAGGGCTTGGGCGTAGCCTGTCCTCCTGGAGCACCCTCGGACACCACTGACGCACCCCGTCAGCGTCATCCTGGATTTTGTTGAGGAGAGGGGCCTCGTGGAGCGAGATTCACGCGCGCCCTCGGAAGTATTTGCCATCAACCCAAACTACCCCTACTGTCGTTTCCACCGACACCAGGGGCACATGACCGATGATTGCCATCAGCTGAAGACGGCCATCGAGAAATTGATACAAGCGGGCCATCTGTCCCAATTTGTCCAGGGCCCTCAGCAACAGGCCCCCCTCATCAGGGGCCACCCTGAGGGCAAACTGCGAGAGGGAATGCACGGGTCAACCCCAACACCATCCCCCTCGGCAAGAAGAGGGAGATTGGAAATCTGGAGGAAGAGGAGGAGGAGTACCCCCGGTATCAAGAAAAGAAACGCCACATCCTCAAGATTACGGGGGGAAATACCGGGGGTGACTCCACAAGTCAACGAAAGAAGTGGGCTCAATCACTTTACGTGGGGGAAGTCACTCATATGCCCCCGGTAAAGCGGCTGAGGGAGGAACCCATTATCTTCACCAACGCTGATCTCCCCCCAGTATCCCCCCCCCACAGGGATGCCCTCGTCATCCGCACAGAGATCAACGACACCATTATCCACAGAACTTACATTGACACGGGCAGCTCTGTCAATGTAATGTACCTCAGCACCTTCAGAGAGCTGCATCTGGAGAGGGGGTCCCTTCGGCCCATCAAGACCCCTCTTGCCGGTTTTACCGGCGACACCATTGATTTCGAGGGGGTCATAACCCTCCCAGTCATCTTCGGCGACGGCCTCCATAGAGCCAAGCTCGAAGTGGAGTTCGTCGTCGTCAACATCGACTGCGCCCACAACATCATCCTCGGCCGGCCAGCCCTCGAGGACCTCGAAGCCGTCATCTCCATGAGGCACCTCTGCCTCAAGTTCCCAGCCGAGGGGGGAATCGGTTACTCAAGGGGGAACCAAAAACTTGCCCGCGCTTGCTACCTTCAAGTTACGAAGAAGGTTAGCAAGACGGAGTTCCGCGTTGACACCATCACCGGAACTGTGGAAGCGGAAGAAATGAGGCCGAGGGCTGAACCAGCCGAGGGGGTAGAAGACTTCGCACTCGATCCGGCCAAGCCGGATAGAGTCGTGAAGATTGGAGCCAAGATCCCCGAAGACTTGAAGACCGGCATCATCAGCGCCCTCCGCGCCTACTCCATTGTTTTTGCATGGGGACCGGAGGACATGCCGGGGATCAGCCGAAGGGTCATCACCCACCGCCTCTCGGTGGACCCTTCGACCAAACCAGTACAGCAGCGGAGGAGACCCCTCTCGGCCGAGAGGAGGGAATTCGTGAGGAAGGAGGTCGCCATGCTCCTTTCTATCAGACACATCAAGGAGGTCAAGTACCCCTCATGGCTGGCAAACGTAGTCTTCGCACAAAAACCGCCCTCATTCCGAATATGCATGGACTACACGGATCTCAATAAGGCGTGTCCCATGGACCCTTTTCCTCTGCCCAATATTGATCAAGTGATGGATGAAACTGTGGGGTGTGAAATCATGTCATTCCTCGACGCATTCCGCGGATATCATCAAATATACATGCATGAGGAGGACGCTGAAAAAATAGCCTTCATGACTCCCGAGGGCATCTTCTGCTACCTTGTCATTGCCTTCGGCCTAAAGAACTCAGGCGCCACCTATACTCGGATGGTGGCCAGGGTATTTCAGGCTGTCCTAGGGCGCACCATGGAGGCATATGTTGACGATATGATCGTCAAAAGCAAGCAGTCAGCAAACCACGCTGACGACCTGAGGGAGATCTTTGCCATCATGCAGAAGTTTAGCCTTCGGCTGAACCCGAAGAAGTGTACCTTCGGCGTCCAGGGGGGAAATTCCTGGGCTACATGGTTAGCCGAAGGAGTATTGAGGCCAACCCCGAGAAGATCCAGGCCATCATCAACATGGAGCCCCCACGCAACGTGAAGGAGGTCCAACGGTTGACGGGCCGCCTGGCAGCCCTCAACCGCTTCTTATCAAAATCGGCGGAGAAGTCCTTACCCTTCTTCTAGATCATGAGGAAAACCGCCGGTTTCCGATGGACTTCAGAATGTCAGGGGGCGTTCGAGGAGCTGAAACGATACTTATATTCACCCCCTGTGCTCTCTAAACCCAAGGTAGGGGAAATCCTGTACCTCTACTTGGGTGTTAGCCCGGCTGCCATCAGCTCTGTACTCATCCGGGAAGAGGATGGCATCCAACATGCCATCTTCTATGTTAGCAAGACCCTCAGGGAAGCGAAGCTCCGGTACTCCCCCGTGGAAAAGACGGTGTTGGCTATCGTGTGGACCGTCAAGAAACTGGGCCATTACTTCCAGGTTCACCCAGTCCAGGTCCACACTCACCAACCCCTCGGCGCCTTGATGAGGAGCCCCACTAGCTCCTCCCGAATGGTAAAATGGGCTGTCTTCTTGAGCCAATACAACATCGACATCCGTCCTAGGCCCGCCATCAAGGGCCAAGCCCTAGCGGACTTCGTGACGGAGTGTACGGCAAGGGCAGCCACGGACGAGGAGCCCTCGGCCCCTTCAGACGACTGGTGGACCCTCTACACTGACGGCTCCTCCGCCATCAAGGCATGCGGAGGAGGGGTGGTTCTCATCTCACCCGAGGGCTTCCGGGCCTATTATGCAGTCCGTTTCTCCTTCAAAGTCTCCAACAATGAAGCCGAATACGAGGCTCTCCTCTGTGGCCTTCGGCTGGCAGCTAACATGAAGGCCCGACAAATCCACGTCAAGTGCGACTCCAAGTTGGTCGTCGGCCAAATCTCCGGGGAATACGAGGCCAAGGAAGGGAGAATGAAGCAATACAAGGAGGCGGCCAAGGAGTTGCTTAAGGTATTTGAGGCTCACTCTCTTACTCAAATACCGAGGGCTCAAAACTCTGAGGCCGACATTTTATCAAAGCTCTCGGCAGAATCCCCTGAGCACATCTCCAAGATCGCCAAAATAGAAGAACTCAGCCTCTCCAGCATACATGCTAGCCCCGTCATGAACATACAACAAAGACAGGAGGACTGGATCTCAGACATTATTGCCTTCATCACCACAGGGCAACTGCCCGAGGATGAGGCCCGCGCCAAGCTGGCAAAGATGAGGGCTCCGAGCTACACTATCGAGGACGGGAGGCTTTACAAAAGGTCCTACAACGGGACGTTACTTCGGTGCCTTCATCAAGATGAAGCCGAAGTAGCAATGGAGGAAGTACACAGTGGCACTGTGATACCTTGAAAATTTGAAATAAAAATAAATAAATAAATAAATCAGATAAGTTATATCTGATAAATCAAATGAAAGTAATATAAAAATATTTTGTATTATACTTGGTGTATAAAAATATATGCATGCTACATGCAATAAAATTAAACACTTGCAAGATCTTGGGGTGACATTGTCGATCAGGTGGTCCTAGGACCACAATACTTGCAAGATACCATAGAGAAAGTCAAAGTCATCCAAGAGAGGATGAAGGCTGCCCAAGACCGGCAGAAATCATATGCCGATCTTGGGAGGAAGCCAGCTGAATTCGAGATAGGGGAGAAAGTTCTACTCAAAGTCTCTCCTACAAGGGGAGTAATGAGGTTCGGGAAGAAAGGGAAACTAAGTCTGAGGTTCATCGGACCCTACGACATCCTAGAGAAGGTGGGAAAAGTGGCATATCGATTAGCTCTACCCACAGAGTTGGATAAGGTAACAAACGATTTTAAAACAAGATACTTTTCAACGATTAGATTTCATCCTTAACATACAGACTTGTGCTAGGTACATAACGTCTTTCACGTATCACAATTAAAGAAGTACGTTCGAGATGAGTCACATATCATCAATCCTGAGGTAAGAGACCCTAGACTTAACATGAACCAAAGTAAACTGGAAATAATATAAGTTAACCCTTATATTATTAGGTGATTGAAATGGATGAGACGTTATCCTACGAAGAAAAACCCGTAGAGATCCTTGATACTAAAACCCGAGAGACGAGGAAGAAGAAAGTTAAGATGGTAAAAGTACTTTGGTCAAACCATTTGACTGAGAATGCAACATGGGAGACAGAAGAGGATATGCGTAAACGGCATCCTGAACTGTTCAACTAAGGTAAATATTGGGTTACGAGGACGTAACCTTTCTTTTAGGGGGGCAGGATGTAACATCTTAATACTTGTAATACTTCATCTTCATACTTAATTCTCGTCTTAGTTTATGCTTCGAGGACGAAGCATTCTTTAAGGAGGGTAGAATGTGATACCTTGAAAATTTGAAATAAAAATAAATAAATAAATAAATCAGATAAGTTATATCTGATAAATCAAATGAAAGTAATATAAAAATATTTTGTATTATACTTGGTGTATAAAAATATATGCATGCTACATTCAATAAAATTAAACACTTATGTGGCATCGAAAAAATAAAATAAAAATAAAATAGAAATAAATCATATTAAATATAGATGACGGAATAAATAAATAAATAAATAAAAATAGTAAGAATATTAAAAATTACTAATAATAACATCAAATTAATAAATGAAAATATCAGATCATAAAACAATGACACATGCTAGGATCACCTACCAAATAATGTATATACATTATATACATATTTTTACATATATAATTATATATATTTATATGTAAAAATTAAAATAAAATAAAATAATATAAAATAAAATTAAACATCAGCATAAATGGGAATCAAATCATGAATCAATACACATGCCATGTTCATCAACTACCAACCTATCATATACATTATTATTATTATTGTTGTTGTTGTTGTTATTATTATTATTATTATTATTATTCATACAATTATCAAATAAATAAAATAAACCATAAGGACCATCTAGACCTATAAATACACCCTCTTAGCCATCCCAAACGCTGCAAATCGGAGAGATAGAAGCTATATATATACATATACATATATATACATAATCTCGCCGGAAAATTTATATCTATATTATTTTACGTATCAAACTTCGTAAAAACGATAGAGGAGGGTCGTGAGAGGTCTAGTAATACTCCCCAATAAATTCCAGACCGATTCGTAGTCACCGGAGCATCCTAGAGCTCGCCGGAGTTACAAGTCGTGGAAGCGGGTCTTCAGCAAAAACGGATATTTTGCCGTAGATAGGGGTGGTGGAGCTTCGTCTTGCCGTCAGGATCATTTTGCAACTTGAATCTTTGAAATCCGTTACCTGTAAGTCAAGTTATAGTTCGCCGAAGCTTTTGTAATTCCGGTCGCCGGAAACCCGACCTGGAGAAGAGCTGGGAAGAAGACAACCCAGTCTTCTTGGGCCGGGTCGTGTATTTGGGCCGGTTCGGCCCAGTTTCAATAAATATTAAAAATAAAATAGTAAATGAAATAAATAAAATCTGGAAAAATATAAATTAAATACCTAGTATAAATATACATATTCGGACCAACCAGAATTGAAAAATAATATTTTTAACTATTTTTAATTGATTTAATTGTAATTGGGCCAGTTTGTACATATTTAGTAAATAATTAACTAAAGGACGAAATAAATTATGAAATAATTATTGGAGTAAACTATATTAAATATATGACTAACTAGGACATGTGGGACCATTTATATTTAATAAAAATTATGAGTAGTATATTTAATTGTGATTAAGCCGATTAATAGATATATGAAATTAAATGAATAAATAAGGGAAATAATTCTAAAATAAATATCTGGATAACCTAGGTCAAATATAGACCCAAAATATAGTTATGGACGGTTATAAATTTATAAAGTCGATTCTTAAGCTATTTAACTTAATTGGGCCATATAAAACTAGTTAAGTAATTAAATAAGAAAATTGATTAACAATGGTGAAATAAATAAAATCACTAAGATGGGAAATAATATTATGGACTAAAAATGAGGTTTGAAATAAAATAAAGAAAAGAAAATAAAGTTGGGATAGCTAGTATAAATGAATGACTATATTTGGACTTAATAAATAAATCATTTAATTAGTGGACTAATTAAATTAGTGTGATTAAATTAATAATTATCATCCTTAATTGTTACTTTTTGGACTCCATATAAATTATTAAACTATATGAACTCATAAAAATTAGTTGATTAATACAAACTAATTAATTAAGTAATATGTACTTGATAAATTAGTTAATCGGCTCCATGAGACTAGTTTAACTAAATCAATTAGTTTAATGGATAAATTAATTAAATTATGGACGTATTAATATTTTTGGACTTTATATTAAAAATATAAAATTAAAACGAAATTAGAATTTGATTGATTGCCTTAATTGAATTAGATTAATGTAGTTAACTATATTTATATAATTAAACTTATTTAGTTGATGAAATTAATTTAGTTAGCCAAATAAATAAACTGGAAGATTGAATTAGTTATGGTAATTGGATTAGTTAGTATAAATAAACTATTAAACTAATTAAAGTTATTATTGAGAATAGATTATCATTAATGATTAATATTTCGAATTATTGCTTACGGAAAATTATTATTCAAAGGTTTATTAAATAAATTATATAAATTATGTAAACTGAAATTGAACTGAAATTGATTATTTAAATTCGAAATATTGAAACTATTATGTAATTAATTTAATTAGACTAGTTAACTAATTAACCAAATAAGTTAAAGTAAATTATGGAGGGGATTAGTATGATTAAAGAAAATAATAAGGTTGGACTGAAAATTAACATTTAAATAAGATTTATGGATCTAACTTAAAAGTTGTATTTAAAGAAGGAATAATGAAGTTAAAATAACTAAAGGTTGAATAGATAGGAAATAACAAAAATAATAGAATAGTTATTGATTTATAATTTTGATATATATTAGAAGGAGAATTCAAGTGAAGACCAAGCTAGAGATTTTATTAAGAGGATTATCGCAATTTAAGGTAAGTTCTATGTCAACCAAAAATGTTTTATCTCGTACTTATATGTATGCAATATTTGAACTATGTGAATTATTTATGAATTGGAAACTATTTGTTTGATATGGAATGGATATTTTGAATGTATGGATATTGGTGGTTTATTATCTATTATGGATTATTAAATGTATATTCTTTTTATTAAAGAATATTGGTGGATTGATATTTAAAGTATATTTTTGGAACGTGTGACAAGAATGACTTTGGGAGAAACTTAAAGTTTTTCATAATATATTTTTACGTCTCGAGAGAAACACGAGGCGTGTGTGATTAGGACTACTACTATTTTTGGTGAAATTTATTTGGGTCGGTAACCAGTCCGGCAATGACATGCTCCGGTAGACATCCCGGGCTTTTATTTGAGGACCAAAGGTCCTTTGGTAGTTGTAGTAGTAGTTACCTAATTTACCCCTGGACAATGTCCCTTGTGAGTAGGTGGTAGAAAACATCCTGCCTACTTGAGTTTCTTACTACTCGGAGGGCTTGGAATTCCTTTTAGAGGGTGTGCACACTTAAGGTAGAAATTCAGGTTCCAAATTGGTGGTCGGTGGGAGCCGGATTCCGGGATGAGTCGTAAATAACAACGACTCGTTGGGCTCGAGGAATCTTGAGTTTCGCCCACTCTTAAAAGAAATCTAAAGTATTACTTTTGGAGGAATTGAGGAATGACATTATCTATTGAAGAAATTATTTTGAGACATGAAGTTATTTTGGAGATATGAGAGGGTATTTTCTATATATATACCTTTACCAAGCCTATTTTCCAAATTATATTATTTTACGGGTTCGGCTGGAATCTTACTTAGCTCTAAAGCTAATTTTTGTGTCTTTTGTCTTCTTCTCTTTTCTCTATTGTACAGATGATTATGATTATGAAGATTGATGTACTTGTTGCCCGAGTGTTCCGCTAGTTGCACACGTTTGATTAATTATCGTTGTTTAAATTTGTAATTCATAAACTTTGTCCTAAGACCCATTTCATTGTTATTTGAACTTATGGTGGATAGCCTGTGCACTCAATCATGTATAGGTTGAGTGTGGCGGTGATGCACCTGTTTTTCCCTTAAAGAATTCCGCTGTATTCTAAATATGTTTAATAATAAAGATGGTTTCATTTAAAAATGTGATTTTATTTGGGTGGGAAAAATGGGGGTGTTACAGGCACTTGCTCAGCTCACCAGGGACCCTTCTCCATGTCCCGAAGGCTGATAATCCAGGGCTACTTCTGGCCTACGATGGCCCGGGATTGTGCGGACCTTGCCCGGAGGTGTCCCGCATGCCAACACTTCCAGAAAGCCCCCGGCAGGCCAGCGGTCAACTATGCCCCCATCAGCACATCAATACCCTTCGCGCGATGGGGCATAGACCTTGTGGGCCCTCTGCCAAGGGGTACCTCCAACAACAGGTACATCATTGTCACCATCGATTACTTCACCAAATGGGTGGAGGCTGAGCCCCTCGCCAGCATTACTGAGGCCAGGTGTCGGCACTTTGTTCTCAAGAACATCCTCACCAGATTTGGCGTCCCTCAGCAAATCATCTCCGACAATGGAACTCAGTTTGAGGCAGCCCCCTTCTGTGCCCTCCTAGAGGCATGGGGCATCAAACACACCTTCTCATCCGTTGCCTACCCTCAGGGCAACGGACAGGTGGAGAACGCCAACAGAACATTGCTCGAGGGCCTCAAGAAGAAGCTGGAGGCCGAAGGGGGTGGTTGGGTAGAAGAGCTCCACAACATCTTATGGGCCTATCGTACCACCCCTCGGCGGGCAACTGGCGAGACACCCTTCTCCCTTTGCTACGGATTTGAAGCCAAAGCCCCCACTGAAGTAACTCTCCCAACCCGAAGGGTCACACAGTATGATCCGGAGGCCAACGACACCAACATGGCCCTCGATCTCCACCTTATTTCGGAATGACGGGAGCAAGCCTTCATACGCGCGGAGAACTACCGAAGGCAGGTGAAGAGCTACATCGACGCCAAGGTTCGCTCCCGGGAATTCCAAGTGGGGGACTATGTTCTCCGAAGAAGGGAAGCTAGCCAACCAACCGAGGGCGGAAAGATGGCACCAAAATTCGAAGGCCCCTACATCGTGGCAGCCATCATCAAACCAGGAACTTACAAACTAAAACGCCATAATGGGACCGAAGTCCCTAGGCACTGGAATGTACATCACTTAGTTAAATTTTATCAATAGCATCAGAGCGGCCAAGCCCTCATAACTAGTGAATATATTATTTTACGGCCCAAGGCCTAAAGAATTCTGAAGAATGAAGGCATTTTGAAGACACCGGGAACACGAAACGAGATTATCACAAGGGCTAAGCCCTCATATCACCCTCAGGCCCAAGGCCTCACCACAATAGAAGAACCCTCGGCACCAAGTGCCGAGGGTAGACAATACTATCACCTACAATCAAGTACCACCCGTCCTCAAAAGAAGACCCCTCGGCACCTGGTGCCGGGGGGTACACCATTATCAACTCTCAACCAATGGGAGGAAACACCAAGTGTTCCCACAGAAGACCCCTCGGTACCCAATACCGAGGGTAGACAAGACAATCACCTTCAACAAATGGGAGGAAACACCAAGTGTTTTTACAGAAGACCCCTCGGTACCAAGTGCCGGGGGTCATACATCGGAACAAACACCAAGTGTTGTTTCTAAGCCGTACCCCTCGAGGACGCCTATACCGAAGGCACCACCTATCGGTGCCGGCAGCACGTAGTGCACTCGGCCATTTGCAACCAGTGTGCAAATGAAAACCCTTCCCTGAAATGCTTTCCGCGTCATCACCCCAAGGGTATGACAGGCATGAGAAATGCCCAGGATTCGACTTTCAAAAACGGAACGCTTTCCACGTCATCACCCCAAGGGTATGACAGGCACGAGAAATGCCCAGGATTCGACTTCCAAACCGAAACGCTCCCCGCGCCACCACCCTAAGGGTGTGGCAGGCCACGGACTATGTCTAACGCCGAGGGGACGAATTTCAAAACTGAGGCGCTTTCTGCACCATCCCCCAAGGGGAGGCAGGTTACAGACCACCATATCTTGTGCCCAGGAAACGATCCTCGATCCCCTCGGAACCCGGAAGGTTAACCCGAGGGGGAGCTAATGGTGTATTCTTTTACCTCCCGATAGGCCAAGCCTTATCAAGAAACCAAGTTTCTTGAAGCCTTCCCTTCACTACTCAAAAAAAAAAGGGTGGTGAAGGGGAGTAGACTCGGCGACAAATCAATGAGTACATCGCTCCATCAATTTACAAAAACATATCGAGGGCTCCCCACGGGAACACCTTCGGCACCTTGGAAGTTCGCAAGTACAAAGGATACCGTTCACAACAGACACCATCAACAAATGGCTAAGTCCACTCAAGGATTGCCTCCGGCTATACTTAAAACCGAAGGCACAATGTTCTCAAAAAATCCCCGAAGGGCACCATATGACAAACAACCGAAGGTTTTTATTGCCACAGGCCAACATCACAAGGCTAACGAAACTATCCTAAACATACAGTGCCTACAACCAAAGGGTCCTCCACCCGAAGGCCAGCAGCAGGAGATACTCAGAAAACAATCTAAGTCCTAAATGCTTTGCCCCTTGTGGAGCCACCAGCTAGCTGAGGGCATACCACAAACACCTCACAGTCACCCGAGGGCTCCAACTTCACACATACTACACTTAGGAAAATTTCCTAAGTCCTACATATTTTGGCCCTCGATCAACTCTCCATGATTGCTCGAGGGGCCATACGGTCGAAGACTTGGTGAAGCTATACTTAGAAAAATTTTCTAAGTCCTACAGACTTTGACCCTCGGTCAAATCTCCATGCTACCCGAGGGCTCCTACTTCATACATGCTACACTTAGAAAAATTTCTAAGTCCCTCAAGTTCTTATCCTCGGTGACAAGTTTCTAAGTCTCGAATCTCCCTGCAGCTCGAGAGGTCACACGATTGAAGGCTTGGTGAGACTACACTTAGAAATATTTTCTAAGTCCTAACTATTACTGGGCCCTCGGTCATATATCCAGCGAGGGGTGCCCAACTACCGAAGGCTAAAAACTGTATTCAAACACTTAGAAAAATTTTCTGAGTCCTTAACACCTCGCCTCCGGTCATCTCAGGGAGGATACATACAACCGGAGGGAAGGATTAGCCGGGGGCCAACAGATGAACAAACACTTAGAAATATTTCTAAGTCCTGAACATTTTGCCCTCGGTAAAAGGTTCAACTGACGACATATTGCTAGTAGCCGAGGGCTACAAAAAGCACTACATTGGGAGAATATATTCTAAGTCCTAAAACATACATTCAGGAAAGCGAAGGCAAACATTCAAAAAAAACGAGGGCATACATTCAGAGGAAAACAATCAAAGGAAACGAATTATACGCAAAAAGCCCGAAGGCCGGTATTCATTCATAAGGAGAATGGAAAAGTTAAAGTGTATATTACAAAATGGCCGAGGCCGAGAGCATACACATGTTCATTACAAATAAGCATTCAAAGGATTGTCTAAGTACAAGTCTCCTCAGGAACTTCAACAGCATTGCCCCCGGGAGCCTCCTCTACAGCAGGCTTCGAAGAGACCTCTACTCCGGCCTCCACGAGGTCGCCCTCTGCTTCCTTCATCAACTCAGTATCCTCCAGGTCGGGCCGCGTAACGCCTGAGGGGAGGGGTTCACGAACATCCGGTTGTAAGGGGGGAAGACCATATGCCGAGGGATCGAAATCTTTCGGCTCAATTTTCAGGTGCCGGGCCATCCTTCGGTAGATGAGGGCCTGAGTAAAAAACTCGCCCCCATCAAAATATTCCTTGCCCTTTCGGGCCATCCATTCCTCACCCGGGCCCTCGCACCATTCATCAACGGAGGCCCCCACAACCGAGGACAGCCACTCCTTGTATCCCTCGGCCTTCCACCCCTCGTCCAGGAACCTGGAGATGGCTTCCTCCCGAGCTTTGACCACAGCCTTCACTCTAACGGCCTCGGCCTCCTGGGCGGCTTTCTTCGCGGCCTCCGCGGCAGCCTCCTCAGCCTTGGCTTTCTCCTCCCTGAGCCTCCCGACCTCTGCTCTCGCAAGCCGGAGGTCCTCTTCAAGCTGGGCCATCAGCTTCGTGGTCTTGGAGTCCTTATGAATGAGCTCCTGCATCTTGGCGTCTTGCCCAACTTTGTGGAGACGCCATTCCTCCAATCGTCGGGCATGTTCGCCGAGGGCAAGGCAAGCCTGCAAATCAACAACGCAAACTGTCAGGACAACCGCGCAAGATAATCTGAGGAAGGAGGGAAGAAAGCATGAGGGAACTCACAGTCAAGGAAGATCGGAGGATCTGGTCCTCAAGCGCCACATCGTCCAAGGCTCCGAAGGTAGTCCCATCTGTTTCAGGGGTCATGCCCCTCAAGAGCACCCTCGGGTTGACCGTGCAGTTGGTCACGGCTGTTCCCCTCGGGAGGGAGACCTGCAAGACCTCTGGGGGCATCTCCTCCGTCCCCATCATCTTTCCGGCCGTCGGCACATCCACAACCAGCCCGGAGGTTGAATGCTCATCCACGATCACTACCAGGGGGTCCTTCTTCGTGGCGCCCCCCTTCTTCGATCTCTTGGTAGCCGGGGGGGATTCCTTCGTCGTCATTTTCCTCTTTGCGGCCACAACATCCCCCTTGGGCTTCTTGAAAAATGCACCAACGGGCTTTTGGCCGCCCGCATCCGACCCCTTCGGATCCTTGGCCGGCTTGTTCTTAAATCGAGCAAGTCCTTTCACGTTCATCTTCGAAACGGGAATACCTGCAAAATAGTGAAGGGTTAGGCCGACGGGTCAACAACTATGGAGCAATAACATCAAGGTAAAAAAAAGGAGAAGAAAAGAATAGTAAATACTAAGTACAAGACTAAGGGCCCTCGTAGACTACCTCCTGCTCCCCCGAAGGCCTCATCAAAAAGGGGATACTTCTCGTCCGTTTCCCCGATGAAGCGATATCTTCGGAAGCCAAGGGCGAAGAGTTCCTTGTCAGCAGTGTAGTCTTTAATGGACACTTGCTTCGTGCGACCCTCCGGGATCTTGGCTATTATCAAGCCATCCTTCTCGAGAGCGGCGTTTCCAACCTTCGGATGCCGACGGAAGCGATCCCGAAGTTCCATCAGAAATGGGCTCTCAGCAACTCTGACGTAGCACCATCGCTCCTTCCAGCCTTTATTGGACGAAGGCGCCTCTGTAAATAGCTTCCACCTAGCTATCTGCTGCAGGTTGGCGAAGCCCTCGGCATTCGCGTGACCCCCTCGGCAAAGGTTGAAGCTCTGGAAAAGCAAGTCCATGCTGGGGGTCACCCCTCGGTCCCGGCAGAGGTTCAAAAAACCCGCCACGTAGGAATGGCTGTTAGGTGTCAGCTGGCAGGGGACCAAACCAACAAACCTAAGGTACTCCCGGAGGAAGGGGTGCAGAGGGAACCGGAGGCCCATGGAGACCGACAGTATGTGTACTGCAATGCACCCCTCGGGCGCCCGAGACAGCACAACATCAACTCCCGGCTCGACCACCACGGCCGAAGGCCCTACGTGCAGCTGCGTGACGTAGAAATCCGCCTTGTCCGCCTTCGACTTTATCTCGAGGGCCTCGGTGTTCAGCCAAGAATACCCCTCGGGCATATCAACGGGTTTCCCTTGGTCGGCGGCCCTGACCTTCTTCTTAGTAACAGCTTTCGCCTTCTTCTCCCTCGATCCGGGGGCTACTCTCAAAGGCGTTGGGTTCAGTGGCCTCGAGCTGTCACCCTCCTCCTCTCCTTCTCTTCCTCCTCCTCTGCAACTTGTACGGCGAAGGCGAGCTCTTCATCCTCCGCCTCTTGCTCAAAGCCCTCGGCTTCAACTTCAGCAACTAACTCTTTCTGCATCTCAATGGCGAGGGCAACGTCACCACCGGCCGAAGGCTGCTCACTCAGGGACTCCGCGTCAGAAAAGACTTCCTCTTCAACCAAGAGATCCCTCGATATGTCCTGAGAATCGCTCTGAGAAGACATCTACTCACTAGCTCGAGGGCTCGGAAGAACTAGGGTTTTCTAGAAAATTCTATCTCCTAGCCTAAGGGCACAAGGCACAGCTAACTAGAAGGAGATGAGCAGGGGGGAACTGACCTTGAGAACTGAGGATTCAACCGAAGGCAAGTTTCTCTCTCTAGAAAATTTTTGCCAGAGCTTCGCTACACTGAGATCGCACAGCGGAGAATGGCCCTAGCCTTGGGGTATTTATAGGCGCTGGGATCCGGGCTTGGGCCCGGAAACCGGGCCTCCGGT